AGACTTGAGCATATGCCTAATTTTATGACTTGTGTCAAGTTACACATACCAATAAGCTGTGATATGATCAGGGTCTTCTTGTAGGAAAGAGGAAGACACATGCAAAACCACTCATTTTTAGTCTAACAAATGTGGTGGTGTGCGGGTAGAATAAAAAATGTTTAAAGATGAATTTTATTTGTGGCAGACTCCCAACTTATCCTATGAGTCATTAGCATGGTGCAGAATGGTATGGCCTTGTCCATGTCATGAGTCAGTGGTTGGTTGTGAGGTTCTTTAAGTCTCCTCCTATGTTTCACTGTGTCTCTGCTAGGTACAGACTCATTAGTCAAAGACTTGACTGAATTCCTTGCTGTATAAAAGAATTCCTGTGTGATCTAAAGGCTCTCAATTTTGGACTGTAACTTACTTGTCTTGGTGAAAGGACTGGCTGTCTACAGAGGTGTGACAGGTGGGAGCAGCAATTACTCTGGCACCACTGATTTTTGCATAGCTGTACAAGTACTAATGTTTTAGTTGAATCATTCAGTCTTGTATTTAAAGCTCTTAAATGTATCTAGATCTTTTTATCTTATTGGTTGGCTTTTGCTTTGGGTTCAGCTTCCGTATAGCTTTGACTCCCATCTATAATATAAAGATACTAAGTTACTTCTTATGGGACTGTTGGAAGATAACAAGTGTAAGGCATTCAGATATTGTGAGGGTGATGTGATCAGCTAGAGAGATTTCCTAGATCAAAGGGAGGCTTTTGGGATTTCTACATGCTGTGAGAAGTCCTGGGGTGGACTCATCTTTGTGATGCTTAAAAAGGCAGACCAAATAAAACCAAAACTGTACAGCTGTTTCTCCTAGACTCTATCTAAAATTTGTCCATGTTTGTACACTTCAGCCCTGGACTACTATGCAGTTTATCAAATTAGTTAAGAAAAATTAATAGACTATTGTATTCAAACTCTAATGGCGACAATAATCTAATGGTATTCACTTTTGCCTGTCTCTGGAAATGGTGCATGTTCTTGCTGCTGGCTTTCGAGGTCTCAGATCTTTTGCTGCTGGAAATATGTGCATTGCTGTTTTTCTGGAGTACTCAGGTAGCTGGCTTTTCATTTACTTTGTTTTCGGGAGAATGGTATTTCTGCCCATTTTGATTTTTCTTTTTTTCCCTTCTTTGTTTATTTTTTGTATCTATCTGTTAGAGGCATATTAATCACAGAAGCATTAATTGTGCTAGTCTAAATATAGGACACTGACTGTTTTGATCCCTGGTATATACATTGCCATTTGACAGTTCAGATATTCATCTAAATAATTTTAGATATTTCTTGCTGATGCTCAGTCACAATTATTTCCTCTAAAAACTTTCCTTGCAGTTTCAGATATAATGTATGGCACCATGGCTGGTAAAGATTTTTATTGTTAAACTTAACTGTAAGATAGCCAGTGACTGTAACTGCTTTTTGAAGATCATTATGACAGTACCCAGTTTAGCAAAAGACATCAAGTAGTTCAAGCAGTTTACTGATAATATTAATCTTCCCTCATAAAGAGCTAGGTTTGATTATTAATGTTGAGGTGTGTGAGGAAATTTAAAAAAAACGGCTCAGAGCTAATTCATTCTCAGAGTTGAGGAGAAAACTTTTTATGAAATGTGAAATCTCCCCAATTTTCTCTTCATATCTTTAATTTGTTACAAAATATTTTCATTTATACTTAGGTGATTACTTCCAAATGATTCTTCCGGAAGAGTGTAAAATATTACCTGTAAAATTTTAGCTGTATATTCTTGTTAATGAAACATGGAACATTATCAGGTAAAAATGGCTTTTTCCTTAAAACACGTTTACTAAGCTTCTGAATATATGTGACCAAATAACTGTTTTCAGCCCCTTTGGAATAAAGGGATTATGTCGGATATAAAACCATAGAATTACAAGTAGCAACAGATGATTTAAAGTGACATCAGTTAACTTGATTTTTTTAACCATCTAAAAATGTTAGTTAACTGTTAAAATGTTAAAATTCCTAAAAAAAGTATCCTCAGAGTAAGTCAAGACATTAAAAAATATCTTTGAAGATACACACTAGCAAGTCTCCTGATTTTTACAGGAACTAGTAATTCCTCACTCAAACAGTAAGAAATTAAGCAATACAAAAGGTGGGAAGTGTAGAATTACTTGTAAAAATATATACAGGTGCTTTTGTGAGTGGTTTTATATTTTCTGTTTCATACAAGTTGCTGGTACATGTTTAAATGAACAAGGCCAGGTACTGTATTTTAATGATATAACCTCATTTTTACCACTGTGCTTCATTCTTAATGTTTGTTTTTTGTTTGTTTTTGTTTTTAATAACAGGGCATAACTGATGTTGTTTTTCACTGATCTGAAGTTGTATGAGTATTATAATTAGCGCACTGTTTGTTTAGGTGGTTGTACTTCATTAATTGCACATTTTCTGAGGTGACAGTTCATTACAGAATTCTTCCCTGTGCAATTATTTCAGTGATTTCTGTGCATTTGAACTTGTGACCAAATCTGGAATTCAAATATTAATTAAATGAAAAAAAAAGAAGCCCAAGATGCTCTTTGATAACATTTTTCTCCTCTGTCTGAAAACATTAATTGCTGGGAGCTTTTAATTTGAGCAAGAAAACTAAAATCCTTGAAATGAAATGTGCTTGTTTAGAGTAATTTATTAGACTACATACAGGGAGCAGTTAAAGAAAGATGTTGCAGATGCCCACCTAAAATTTTACAGGTTTCTTACAGACGTTCGGATCACTAAATCATAGTTACTGTTTTGCAAATTTTTTTACAAGCTGCTCCACCCCCTTGAAACCCAGTCCTTTGGAAACATACATATCATTTGTATATAATAGGAATATATCACATAGATATTATTTGAGGGAGAAAAATGGATTGACATCTTTGTTGCTTGAAGGCTGGATCTCCACTGAACACATTAATCAAGTATGTAGGTGCCATGTAACGTCATAAAAAATACCTCTACAGGTTTTCCTACAGTCTTTCAAATTATTTTTCAGTTCTGATTTTCTAAAGTTATACAGTCTCCTTCACCTTTCTCTTAAGAATGCTGAATATTGCTGACTGTAATCTCTTCTGTATTTTATGTGGGATACTTGTACTAGAAATTGTTCTAATTCACTTTGTAGGTATGTGTTAATGCTCAAACTTCAGGTGAATGAGAATGATGATAGAGGGAAGAAAGTTAGGATAAAGATTTTTGAAGTCATATTTTTAGAGGGAGCACCATTTCTGAGCAGCCAGAGGTGTAATGCTTGTTTATTCAGTTGCTTTTGAGAGAAGTGAAATTTAATTTCTGAGCTAAGAGAGGAGAAGGAAACAAATGGCAACAAAGAAGCTGAAATTGCTAATAAGGGAAATATACAGAAATCAGATACTAGAAATTGCATTCCCAAGGAGAAATCATTTAGTATTAAAAAAAAAAAAAACCACAAAAAAAACCACAAAACAAACCTGTCACAAGATGATTAGTTTGACTATGATGATGATGCCATTCTTGAGTTCTTGCTGAAGTACCTGGGCAGAATTATTTAAGCAGGTCAGTGCTTTTCTGTATGTGTACTTTAAGACAAAGGCCTTATTAGGAGACTTACTATATTCCAGATTTAGTTGGAGAATTCTCTGTGTGCAAAAACCTGGACTATAAAAAGAATGAAATAGGCTCTGTGGGTTATGAACACGTGATTGGAAAATGTATTGCACATTGCAAAAATTTACATGCAAATATTAATTAATTTTTTTTAATCCACTTTCTCTACTTTGCACTGTTAATCAGTATTTTTCACAGTAACTCTTGCAGGTTAGGCTTATACGGGACAGTTAGTTTATCTAAATTTTGTCCCATCTGGCTGTTGTGCTTCCTGCTTCTGTTATAGAAGTTCAGGGTCCACAGGAATTCTGAGCATGGGTTTTACAAATAAAAGCAAATTAAATGTGAAATATAAAATTTGGTGGAAAAAAAAAAAGTTTTGTCTTCTCCTGCTGCTTGCCCTCCACTTTTTTATTTTGTTCATAATTCATAAATTTATTTACCTTTTGTCCGAATGTCATCTTTCATATGCTGGAACATTCATGCTCCCTCTTAAATCAAAGTGCTTCTGCTCAGTACAGCTGGGTTAACGGGCCTGTGAAATCGGAGTAGAAATTCGTCAGCATTTGAACCTTTGAAAACTAAAATACTGTGACAAAGTTCGGTATCTCTGGAGCCTACTAACAGGGCTGTTAGCGTGTGGTGAAAGCAGCGCACCCCGAAATGTCAGTCAGCGGGAGTGGGGGATTGCTGCGAGTTAATTAGGAGCAATTAGCTGGTCTCCCTGCTGACCAGACAGCTATTACCTTTCTCTTCTTTGCCCTTCCCCTGATGCCGCTGCGGGACAACGAGTTGTGGCAGCGATGATTGCCTGAGAGTGTCCGTGTCGGTGCGGGCGGTGGAGGCACGGGGCCGCGCTGAGCCCCGGCCCCCTCCCCGCCCCGCCGCAGTGTGGAGGGAGGGACCGCGGCCCGCAGCCGCCTCCCGCGCCGCGCCACGCCGGGCGCTGTCCGGGGTGCTGATCCTTGCGAGCTGTGCGCTGTCCGAGGTGCTGAGCCGTGCCGGACCGAGTGCTGTCCGAGCTCCAGAGCCGCGCCGCGCCGCGCCCCGGCGGCACCATGGTGTTCGCTCCAGGTAAGGGCAGCCGCTTCATGTGCCCGGGCAGGGGAGTCCCGTGGGAAGGCCCCGTCCTTGCCGGAGAGCTCCTCCGAGGCTGTGGGGAGGGAGTGACGGCTGAACGCCAGCTGCCACAGAGCAGGGACAGGTGGTTTCAAAGAAGGTGACTTAAGGTTAGGATGTGTGGAGCCAGAGGTTAATAGGGTCACCCCTGTGGTTCCCATCAGGGACAGGAGCCTTCTGTACAAGTGTGCAGGGGACTGTGCACAAAAAGGTCAGAAAGTCACTGCATGGCCTTGCATGGAGAGTGAGTACCCCCCCAGTGCCTGCCAATGAGACAATCTCTGAAACTCGTGGAAATACTTTACAAATTTCCATTCCTCCTTCCCCTCCACTGCCTCAAGTGTTTGAATGGAAGAGAAGAGAAAGTTTCTTCAGTATAGCTTTTAGTGAAAAAAAATTGACTTCAGCAGGAGCTCATGTCTAATGCGAGACCTCACTCTAGGAGGTTGTAGAATCTCTGCTGTGTAGTATGTATGTGCTACACCACAGAAGAAAGCTGAAGAGAATCTGTATTTGGCTTGGTACATTCTGCTTGCAATAGGCAGTTTGTTGTTCAGAAAGCTATGAGAGACCCAGTAGCTCCAGGATATAAATGTAATTCATGTATAATATCTTCTGTAGCGAAATGACTTGAAATTAACTTTGCTAAAGATGTATAATTGTCAGTAAAAATAGCGGGTCAATAAAAAGGCAACCTAAAAGCTGCAACTTGACAATGAGTAACTATTAATGCCTTTGTTTTGCCAAGCTAATGGAAGTTTTGTCTTCCTTTGAAATTCTATATCCAATCTGTAGAGGGATAAGGATCCGAAATCTTTATACCTTCATTAAAGGAAAAAAAAATGATCTTGAAGCTGACTTTGCTAACTTGACACAGATGAAATCTGTCAGAAATTAATATCCTTTTTCAACAATCAGAAATTCATTTTGTCTCTTTAACAGCCCAGTTGCTGTCTAATTTGATACTTCCTTGTACATCATGTTCTGAAACTGGGACCAAGTTGTTTATCTTAATAGAACCAGGAGCTGGTTTTTTGTCCTACACCTTTCAGTATCAGTGGCTCTTTCTGAATTCCTTCTATCTGGCAGAGTGTCACCATCAACTGTATTAATTTTTCAAAAGCACTATGGGACTGGAATATTGCAGGAAGAGATTACCCCTAAAATAATGAAAACATGCTTATTTTTCGGCAAAGGCTGACAATGAACAAATCACAAATCTCATTAATAACTGCATGAATTGTTCTTTTCACAACTCTAATCCAGAAAGAAAAAAAAAAAAAAGTTGTGAAAATCTGTTTTGTATAGTCATCATTCTTTAGTCTGCTTTTACTCAAAGAAAAGTCCATGGTTTCCTTGCAAATGTTGCCATAATATACATCGGGTAACTAAGTAGGAATTTATAAAAGAGATGATAAAACAATCAGAGGGGCTTGACAGTCTCTTGTATTCAGACAGAGCAAGCCTGAGTAGATTTCATTTTTTTAATTGCTTTTCTTCACTGTAAATTAGCCCTGCCCTGGCGTTATTGCTTTACCAGATATTAAACAACACAGGCGTTTTGTACATCATTATAGCATCTTCATAGTACTTAAGGCCGTATGGTATCAGAATGCAGTATGTTTACTGAGAAACTAAGTTTAGTGTCTTGAATCAACTTTTTGGTTTTATTCTGCTGTGATGAATAACCTTATTTTCTGTACATTTATGTTTCAGGAGGGTCAGAGAGGGGAAGAAGAAAATTTGTCTAACTATAAATGGTTTGGGTCAGAATGCTAAACATCCTTCCCGGATGGGGGTGGGAAAAAAAGAAAACAAACCAATAACAATCAAAAAGAAACTGTCTTCCAGAAAAGTAATGGAGCTTGTTTATGAAGATAAGATTTTGCAAATGAATAAGATGATGCTCTCTTCCCAAAGGTAGTAGATACATTATTGCAGAGCACTGAATTAACACCTTGTGTTTATAAACTTTTAAATGGGAAAAGCTTATCGAGTTTAATATACTTTCTCAAAGGCAAAGCCAACTGACCATTGACTGAATAGATACTTTCAAGTTAAACTTCAACTCTTTTGCCTAAAACTTACAGCTACTATGTAAAACAAAAAAAAACCACAAAACCCAAGCAAACAACACCAAAAAAAACCCCCAAGAAACAATAACACCCCCCCCACATACACACAAGACAACAAAAAAAACCCACAAACAAACAACAAAACAGTACCCACTCCAAAGCCCTACAAACACACAACCAACCAACTCCCAAACAAGCCTGGATATTACTGAGCTAGATACATCAAAATTGTTGCAAAAAGACCAGTATTTTGTCTTCAAAACTGGACTTTCTGGCTCATTCTAGGCAGTATATTGCTATTTACAGGTATGCAAAAAATTATTATTTGTATGTGATTTTTATTCATACCCAGATTTAAATAACCTTGAGTCTGTTCCAGAGAAAGGAACTGCAAAAAGTACATTTTTTCCTTACTCGGTTTAATTTGACTGAGCCTTCATTGCACTTTGTTGGGTTGATTGACTAATGCCAGGTTGGTGTACAGGAAATGCAGTTCAAACTCTATGAGTTGTCCGGGAGTTCATTTTAGCAGGAGCATTCCCACATGATGTGCTGCCCTTGCACTGGAGGATGATCCATGTAGTAGAAAACTGGACAAGGTATACATTGCAAAGTTTAGCTTCCTTTTCCTGGATTGAACTGGTTTAGGGAGGCTGAGAAGTAGACAAGAAAAGTGTTACTGATTGTTGGATGTAAGGATGAAGGTATGTGTGCCACTGTAGTAGAGAAACATGAAATTTCAAGGTTATAGATCAGGTCAAAAGGCAAAGTGAAGCTGTAATTGTTGAATTGGCAGATTTTCTTAGAAAAATTCAAAAGAGAGTCTATTGCAGAATTTAAAAAAAACAAACAAAACAAACAAACAAAAACCAACAAGCAACCCCACCAAAACCAAAAACAAACACCCCCCAAAAAAAAAACACCCCACCCCCAAAAAAAAAACCCACACCAAAACCCCAGTTCCAAATTAGCTTATAAAAGACTGATGACTATAAAAATTCACGGAAGAAATATCTGTCCTTGTAAGGTAAGGAAGAATAAGCGAAACATTTATTTGTTCTAAAGCATTAGCAAAAACTATAGGATGCACCAAATTTTCTTTTATTACCATGTCATTAATTTACAAAGGAGTGATCACTTCCACTATCAGGATTAATCAGATTTAACAATAACTTTAAATGTTGTTAAACAATATCTTAATGCTTCTTTGCAAATTGCTTTCAGTTAACTTCTCCCCAGAATGACCTTGGGCATATTCCATGCTTATCTTCACCCATAAAACTTTCTTTCCTCCAGTGGAAAGGTAAAATAAAATTTAAAATAATACTGTTTATTTTTGAGTTGTCTGAACAAATGGGAAACATAGGAATTTTTCATGCTTGAAGGGTTGTTTTTGTTTCCTGATGCTATTTTCCATGAGTCACTTAAACACTTCTGTCTTGGACCTTTGCCCTTATGTGTATGTACTGATACAGCACACAGATGGCCTGCATTTTTAAAACTAGCTTGAGAACAAACTTAGAAACCTATTAAAGATATCTGAACTACCTAATGTTTTTTCCAGCAACTTTTGCTAGAGTATAATTTCAGTGATCATTTTAGTATATTTTTAGAATTTTACTCCATAATGTAAGACCATAAAAAAAAAACTAAAACAAATTAGAGTTTCATCATTGTATTGTTTTCACCCAGTTAGTAGTATACAAAGTTGTGCTTAATTGACTAGGGATCTTTATTTTTGGCTAAATAAAATCTTTTTGCAAGGAATCGGTTTTGATCTGAATACATCAAGGCAGTTTGTTTCAGTGTCTGAACACTCCCATCCTTTACGCTTTATCTACTTTGAGTTGTGCAATTTCATCTTTCAGATGAGTTTTGTTATTTTTCAGTGTCAATTGAAGAATTCTTCTGACATTTTCTCCCTAACTAGGAACTTGAAGGCTTTACTCATGACCCTGCAATCCCAAAAGAAGAAGGAGGAGGTAGAACTCATTTTTGTATCAATGTTTCTATGTAAAAAGATTTGTGAATACACTTAAAGTTTAAAGATAGACATTAGAGAAGTCAGAATATTCACTGCTCAGCACCTTTTTCTTACAACAGCAACACAAATAGCTTTTCAACCAGCTTTTTAGCAGCACAGCTGTTCTTAACATTTTTAATCTAGGAGCAGCGTAGCAGACTTGTGTAATGATACTGCAGATCAGAAGTGCATCCTGTACCAAGCATTTTGGGAATCTCATTAAGCTGCAATTGAAGACGTAGCAGCTGCACACTGAAACAGATGTGCTTACTTGTCTGAATAGTCCTGGTCTTCTGTAGTGGAAAAGCTGGGAAAACAGCAACTTCTTGTGCTGCAGGATGCAAAGACAAAAAAATTCTTGATAGCCTTTTGCTTTTTTTGGTTTTAGAGTTACCCCTGGAGAACTGTTCACAACGCACAGATTGAGACACTATGCAGGGACCTGATAATGAATAGAAAAATGGCTTGTCCCCATTACTGCTGTGCTACATTCTGCTAATGCTCTAATTCTGAGGTACCAAAAAAGCACCCTAATATAAGATGTAAGAGTATATATATGTGGGATTCTTTCCTAGCTTAGTGTTGACGAAGTCCATGTGATGGACCTAATTTGGAGTCTATAGGTGAGACTACTTTGCAGACTTCATGCAGTCTGATACAATAGTTGCTTTTGTCCAGAATTTGTGATGGTTGGTGGCAAGTATGGAGGCCAGTTTCCATCCAAAATTATCTGTACTCATTTGCAGCTAACAGCTTGCAAGAATACTTCAAAGTGTTTGCCACCTGGTAAGAAGAAATTGTATAGGAGGGAATTTCTTGTTCTGTTTTGCTGAGGAAAAATTGTTTCTTGTGATGACCTCTCCCCGGTGATCTTTTCCTTGCTGTGAAACTCCACCAGCAGATCTCATTAGTGAGGCGGAAAAAAGTTATTTCATAGGTATTCAGAAATGGTATGAAATTAGCAAGCTCAAAAAGTAGTCAACAGTCCTAGATGCATTCTTTCTTTAAAGTCTGAATCAACATAGTGTTAAAAACTAGCACAGAATTTACTTTTTTGAATTATTTTTAACAGATCTGAAGGCTTAAACGAGTGAGGCTGGCACCTCTCACTTCCGTATCACTGGGTTGAATCCTATTGAGCTTAGCAGTGAAAAGAATTCTGTCTTCACAGTGGCTATGTGGCCTATATTGAAGGAGTTCTTCATAGTTGAAGGATGGTGGTAATATGCAACACAGTCATTATTAACATCCTTACTGGCACTGTGTATGGGGTCCATGTATTGAGCAGGAAAATCAAACACTGAATATACAAAAAGAATGACTTACACTGGCTCCTAAAGTTTTTCCTTCCAAATGATTATTCTTAGATGAATTGCTCCATTGTACTTGTTATAGATATAAATAATATGATTCCAAGCTTATAAGTTTTATCATGATATTAAAAACTAAATGCACTTACTGTAAAATGCAGTGAAAGGCAGATTTATTCTTATACC